TGGGTGGATGAATGGTTGGATGGATGGGGTAGATGGATGGGCAGACTGATGGGATAGATAGGGTGGATGGATGGCATAGATGGATGGGGTGGCTGGCTGGCTGGATGGAGTGGATCAGTACATGGGTAGATGGATAGGGTGGATGGATGGATGGGGTGGATTGATGGAGTAGATGGATGGGGTAGATGGATGGATGGATGGGGTAGATGGATGGATGGATGGATGGATGGATGGAGTGGATCAGTGCGTAGATGGATGGGGTGGATGGGTGGGTAGACGGATGGATGAGTGGGTGGATGGATGGAAGGGTAGATGGATGCATTATACAACTCCTAGTCTTTGACCCATTTCTGCAGGTCAGGTATGCACCAAATACTTCCCATGTATTATCTAACTGCAAACAGCTCTACAACGGGGGAGGGCACAGTGAGCTTCATTTTTCAGTTAAGAAATCGGAGGCTCTGAAAACATAGGAAATTCGTCCAGAGCTGCAGAGTTGTCTCAGTCTTGACCCCTGCTCTGATCTCATGGACTTGTCCCTCTAAACACGGCCTTAGCAGCTCCTACCCAAGACCTTGTACAGCCCCTGCCTCTGCCCTTGACTTCTGTGGGTGGGGACAGTGGGGCCCTGTCTGGAGACTAGTGGGATTTCAGCCTGCAGCCTGGGTGAGGATCAGCCCCCATCAACTCTCTCCATAGGAGACACAAGAGCTGCAGAAGAAGCAGCAGTGGTACCAGGAGAACCAGGTGACCCTGACTCCCGAGGATGAGGATCTGTACCTGAGTTACTGTTCTCAGGCCATGTTCCGCATCCGCATCCTAGAGCAGCGGCTCAATCGGTGAGGGGGCAGGGGAGCCGGAAAGGGGGCGGGGAGGCTGGGCCAGCAGCTTCACGCTCCCTCACCCTCTGTTGCCCTGCCCTTCAATTGCAGACACAAGGAGATGGCCCCCCTGAAATACCTGGCTCTGGAGGAAAAGCTCTACAAGGACCCACGCCTAGTGGAGCTCCTCAAAGTCTTTGCTTGATGCCCCTCCTGCACCTCTGCCCCTTTCACACCCCTCCTGGGGCCGTGGCAGAAGCTGCCAGAAAAAGTGCCCCTTATCCATAGGCTGGCCCCTGTGCTCCCTTCACCTAGCTAATGATGGCCACTCAGGTGTCTGCCTCACTGCCACACCACCTCCAGCCCGTTCTGTTTTTGCTTCACATAACTTTCCTGTAAATAAACTTTTAATTTTCCATTTGCATCTCATATTTCACAAGCTCCAGCACTTTTTCTCTTTCCCGTCTTTATCTATAGCTGGGGGCTTGCCCTCCTCCCTTCCTCTTGGTCATCTTCATTTGCTGCCTTTCCTTCTCAGTTGGAATAGAGTCTCCACAGCACCTCTGCAGGCTGTCCCCACCCCCCAAAACCAAACTAAACCCACTGTCCTTGAGTGGATTCCGACTCATGGTGACCGCATGTGTTACAGAGTAGAACTTCCCCACAGGGTTTTCTTGGCTGTAATCTTTATGGAAGCACACCACCAGGCCTTTCTTTCGCAGTGCGGCTGGGTGGGTTTGAACCGCCAACCTTACAAGTTAGTAGTCAAGTGCAAAAATAACTGGTTAGATCTCAATGTGGCTAGGGTGGCCCAGCTCTCAAAGTGGGATGGCAAGGCCAAGGTGCTCACCCCAGAACCCTGGGGCTGACATTTGACTGTAGGGGCCTGAACCTCAGCTCCTCTTACCAACAACTATTTACCCATCTGTGAAATGGGGATGGCACTGTTGTATTAAATGAGTAAGACTTGTAAAGCAGAGAGGACTGGGAGTTGACATAGAAAGCACCCACTAAATGTTAGCTTAAAAAATGGGCAATAAACATGAAAATGTGGTCAAATTTATTAGTCATCAGGGAAATTCAATACTACCATACACCCACCAGAATGGATTAAATGAGTAAGTATTGGTGAGGATGTGAAGCAACTGGAACTCTGATACATAGCTTCCCTAGTGGGAGTGTAAATCAAAACAACCACTTTGGAAAACTGGCAGTATCAACTAAAACATACATATACCCTGTGGCCCAGCAATTCTGCTCCTAGATATTCACCCAACAGAAATGCATACATATGTCCACCAAAAGGCATGTACTAGAATGTTCAGAGCTGCACTATTAATAACAGCCTCAAACTGGAAATTACCCAAATGCTCATCAAGAGTACAGTGGATACATAAATTGTGGTCTAGAGATATTTTTGGTTGTCATAACTGGGGTAGGGAATGCCACTGGCATCTAGTGTATAGAGGACAAGGATGCTGCTAAACCTCCTACAATGCACAGGGCAGCCCCCACAACAAAGAATTACCTACCCCAAAATGTCGATAGTACTGAAGCAATGAAAATGAATGAAATACAATGCCATGGAACAATTTAAATGTCTCAAATAATGTCAAACGCAGCCAGATGCAAAAAATATATACATAGTATTTCAGAAACATATATATGTATGCACATATATATATATATATATAAAATATATATAGTATGATTCCACTTACATAAAAAACAAAAACAGGCAAAATTGGTCAATGGTATCAGAAGTCAGGATAGTGGTCATTCTTCGGGTGTAAGGGTTAGTGAATGGAAGGGGGAGCCAGGGGGGTTTCTTGGGGTGCTGGTAATATTCTGCTTCTTCACCTGTGTATGTTCTGTTTGTGAAAATTCATCAGCCTCGAACACATACAATATGTACCCTTTGGGGTATGTATATTATACTTCAATAAAAAGTGTTTTAAAATGCTGGTCATGAATCTAATCAAGCCTTCAGACCTAACTTCCAGTTTACAGGAAATTCAAGAGAAGAGGAACAAGATAAACGACACTAGGAGGAATCAGACAAACCTACAATGAGGGACAATTTACAAGGTAAATGGTCTGGCCTCTTCAGAAACAGGTTGGGTGACTGAACCAGAATGAGTCTAAAGGAGCCAAGTATGCTGAATCTTAATTGGCTCCTGGTTAGAAAAAAAATGTTATCAAACATATGTTTGGGACGATTAGGGAAATGTGAATATGGACTGGATGCTACAGAATTACTGGTTTTCTTAGTATGTTGACAACAATGGTTATGTAGGATAAGGGCCTTGTTTCTATGAGCTGCAAAGTCTGTATTTATCAGTGTGTGTGTGGGCATGGTGGTGGGGAGTGGCATCATGTCTACGACTTTTAAATGGTTCAGGAAAAATACACACGGACGGTAAATATATATGGGTCATCATATTATTCTTTCAAGTTTTCTCTATTAAGTTTTCCATCGTAAAAAGATGTTACTCTGCTAATCGAGTCCTCTTTTTAATAATGCCCATCCCCCCTCTCAGGGTCTGCTTCTCAAAAGTACAACAGAGGGCTGGACCCAATTGTCTCTGGTAGAGGGAACAGTAATGGGGAAGCCCCTAGGCTTTGGCCTTAAGAACGAACAAAGTTACTGTTTGACTGTGTGGCCTTTTACAAGACCTTTACCCTGGGCGTCAGTTTCCCCATCTGTAAATGGGAACAGGAATTTCTATCCCTTTGGGATGTTGTCAGCCTTCAGTGACAAAAAATACATATTGTACGATTCCACTCTGACCTGCAGTTACTAGAGGATAAACGGGCAGGCTGGAGGGTCTTTAGGCGCTGGACGCTGGGAAGGCTGGGCCACTCTCTCGGCCCGATGGGGCCTGACGCGGGGGTGAGGGGGAAGAAGCGTCTGTCGGGCCGAGTCGCTCCTAAGCATCCCCCGCCAAGCTGGACCACGCGAGAGGTGCCAACTAATTCCGGAAGCCCACCCCACCTAAGGAGTCACAGGTAGAGTCGGCCTTTCTTGGATTCCTAGTTTGTGATCCCCTTGAGAGAGTAAGCCACTTGCCCACGCATCCATTCGCCGAGGCCGCGGGTGTGGGGCAGCACTCCTGGGCTCCAAGCCTGACTAGGACCCGGAACATGTTCTGTCCCCCCAGGCCTCCTATGGGAGATCCAAGCAGGCGTCCGGGTCAAAGAAGAGGTGCAGAAGTCCTCAGACTATGGCAATATTGCCGGGGGGCAAACGAAATAAACAGAACTGAAGCAAAACGCTGACTCAAGTCTCCTCGCCGCTTCGCCCCACTTTAAGATGGAAAATCCTCGACTTCTCGCTGCTCCCGAGTTCCCTTCCCATTGGCTATCTGGAAATTGGTTTTTCCAATAATGTGGAGGCTGATTGGTCTATCCAGGACGGTTACTAAAGCGATTGGCGCAGCCGCCCTTGGAGGGTGTCGCGCAGAGGTTTCAAATTCAAACTAAGTTTGAGGAAGAGAAGGAAAGGGGGAGGGGAGGGAAAGCTTGAGGCGGAGGTGGGACCAAGGAAATGGGAGCTCGCATTGGTCCTCTGGAGTCCGAGGGGCGGCTCTTGGACGCTCCTTCCTCGTGATCAGTCCGATTCAGGAATAGAGGGCGGGTACTTGGGAAAAGCGGCAGGAGCGCCTGCTTCGATTGGTCAAACCTGGCGGGAGGTGGTGCGTTCTCGGGGGCTGATTGGTGCACAGGGTGAGGTGGGCGGGGCTCTAGGCCGGAGGTTTTGTTGTGAGGGTCGGTTGTCAAGCAGCGGCCAATCAGGGCAAGGGATGGAGGCAAGTGGGGGTCTCTCCGGGCGCTGAGCCTCGGCCTCCGGAGCCGCAGCTGCAGGTGAAGTGGGAGAGGGGGGAGGAGGCGAGGGCATGATGGGTCCTGGGCTAGGCCAAGCTGTGTGGGGCTGGGCTGGGCTGCGGCGGTGAGGGCTCCTGGTCCGGGGAGGCAGGAGCCCGTGCCCCGAAAGCTGAGAGGGGTGGAAGGATCAGGCGAGGCCGAGGGGCCAGTCCCAGCCTCCAGACGAGCAGGAACGGTGTGGGGGCCGGAAGGGGCAACTAGGGAGACTGGAAGTAGATCTAAGGGTCTACAGGAGGATGGATAATGAATACTAGAAGCAGGAGAGTGAATGAATGGGGGATACTGGTAGCAGAAGGGGAAGGAGAGTTAAGGGGGCCTGGCGGGGCAGGGCCCAAGTTAGGGGGCCCGGGAGACAGGATGTGCATTAATTAAACACACAGATGGCAGGAAGAAGGGGGAGTGAACGGAGACTAAGGAGACAGAACCTGGGGGCTCAGGAGAAGAGGAATGGAGTGGGAGAGGGTTCGTGGGAAAGAGGTGAGGTGGATGTGAGGGAGGGGTTAGGAGGCCCCACGAGGTGGAGTCATGCCGGTATCTGGAGGCCTAGTCCCCACCACTGCCCGTGGGAATTGCAGGGGACAGGAGTGGGTTCTCATGCCACAAACAGGGAGCTTGGACCCTTAGGGCCCTCCTTGAGGTCCTCCCCAGAAGAGGACCTCAGTGCCTGTCTCAGGGGTACCTCTCACGGCCCCTGCAAAGCTTATCCTCTGACTCCACCCCCCCCCCCTTGCCATACGTCAGGCAGAACAGTGACTCCTAGAAATCCATCTGAACTGCAGACACGTGGTCTTCCCTGCCCCACTGTTGTGGCTGCACTTTAGGCAGCCAGCATCCGGGAGCAGAGCCTCCTGCCATCATCCTGGCCTTTGGGAGGACCTTCTGTTTCCCAGTGTTCCAAGTCACCTTGCTTGAATCTGCAGATTGTCAAACCCAATTTGCAGGACAGCTCCTGGCTCTGGTGGCTTTAGTGGGTGGCTGTCTTTTTCAAGTGGCCTTGGTGATCAGGCCGCTGCAGGTCTGCAACCCCAGGGTTCTCCTGAGCTCCCGCCTCGTGTTTCCTAACAAGCTACCACCTCTGTTTGTGTTCTAGCCCAGTGTTGAGCTGAGATGGCTCAAGTCTGACCTTCCATGATCCCAGATCCCAACGGGCATGCACAGGCTGCTGCTGTAGGTGCTGTTGATGATTTAAAACCACAGAGGAGTGGTGGGCCAGAAGACAAGGGATTCCCTCTGTCTGGATGTGTGGGAACTCCCTGCCAACTTGATTGGTGGATCTGGGGGGGATCCACCCCCACCCCACGAGGAAAGCACGTCTACTTGGTGGGTGGG